GATCTTTTACTGATCACAGCCACATGTTCATCCTGGCAGAGTTGTGCCTTGGCCTCGCTGTGCTCAGTTGCCTTGTCCTGCTGCTGCTGGTGCAGTTGCAGAGCCTGCGCAGGATGCCAGATGCACTCACTGATAACTTACCCTTTTCTCCATGCATTCATCTGCCGGGCTGGGAGCAAAATACAGAAAGTTTTTGCCCTGAATGAACATTGCAGTGGAGACTGCTTGCATCAGGCCTACCTAAGCTTTGGCAATAAAGGCCAGCCCACTTCCAAATAACTGTGTATAGTTTTCTAAGCAAAAATAAATGCTCTGGGTGTCGATACTTGCTTTCTTCCTTTTCTAACAGCTTTATTAAAAGTGAATTGTTTTTTAAAGAAAGCAAAACACAAGAAAAACACAGAGGTCATCCCTGCAATTTGGGTTGCTCTCCTCATCCTTCCCAGCAGAGGAAAGAGGCCGGGCTCCTCTCACCAGCCCAGCACTCGCAGAGGGTAGCTCTGGAGCAGCCTTGCAAGAGAGAGTAGTGCCTTGCTGTCGGCAGATGGTGCCCTCATTGGGAATAAGAAAAGAGAAGTACTTTCCAGAGAGCGTTTGGCACTGTGGCAGCCTTGTCTGGAATCAGTTAGGAAGAAGACAAGGTCCTCACTTGGTGTCTCCTTGCAATGTCAACTTTAGCCCGTTGGAAACATCCCAGTTCATACTCAGAGATGGTTCTGTCCCCAGAAAACTCTTTGTTATGATATCACTATTGGCTTTCGTCTACAAATTACTGTACAACTTAAATGTCAGTATTCAAAACTTGAAGTGCACAGGGTTTGTTCAGCCAGAAGTAAAAATGAAATTTAGTTCGGGCTCCTGGCAAGACTTGCTTTCACATTTATCAAACTGACATTCAAACCAAAGAAGTAAAAATACAGCTAAAATATCAGGTGCCATTGAATGCCTGGAGAAACCATGACAGGAGTATTGCTTTTCTTTCCCTCCTATAATCAAATTTATCTACACTTCTGAACAAACATCTGCATGAAGTATTTAGTGGTTCTTTCTTTTTTCCCTTGGATCTGGTTTTGCATCTTAAACAAGCCAATAGCTCAGCCAGCTTGGACAGTGTGTTTGTGGCTGTGTGAAAACCTTTTAATGCTCACGGTATCTGGGATGTCCAAAGGCAGGCTGCAAAGCCTTTGTAGGCAGCCCAGGTGTGTAAGTGTGACCAAACAGAAAAGGTTCCAGCTTCCAACTTCTAACTGGTCGTCTTATCCAGTAAAGCCATTTCTCAGCTTCAGTCTTTCTTGACTTTTAATGTGGGGCAGTAATTCAATTCCTGCAAATAGTAGGATTTGCTCAGGGCAGATATGCCAAAGTGCTCTTTCTTTTCCAAATTCTCATCTTGTAGCCCAACAGAATGAAAAAATTATCCATGCTTTTACCATCTGTCATATTAAAACATTCTTTTAAGCAACTATTAATATCTTAGCTGAAAATACTGTTTTTCAGAAGCTTTCTTCCCTCTGAATGGGATCATCTACCTTTCTTTTTCACTGTTTCTAGCCTCTTCTACCTAGAGCTCAATGTTGACTTCATCTTCAGTGTCATGGTGTTGGGATCTGCTCTGTAGACCCTTCCTGTTCCAGCTTGTATTTTTGCTGTTCTGCCTAGCACTTATAAAGCTCAGTATGCCTCAGGTGGGCAGGTGTTTCCAGGTGCAGCTCTGCAGGAGAGGTCCATCCTTCATCCCAGCTGCTAAAGGGATTCCTTGGTCCTAAGTCACGCTTTTCCCCCCTGTGTCAATTTGAGATGTCAAAGGAATAGTATGTCTGATATCCTGTGTCATACCCTCATGTACCCACTTGGCAAGGAAAGGTCTTTGAGAATGAGAAGTCAGAGGATACAGACCTACATGTCCTCTCCTATCTATTACCTGAAGATGGAGCCCTATTTACAGACAAACTCCACAAGTGACCTCTTGTGGGAGAAAGGAAGGGGAAGAAATGATACCACAGAACAACAACATCTTCTGTTCAGATGGGGAAAAAACTAACAAAACTCCCCAAGTAACTAAAAGGTGGAAGCAGGGCAGTATTTCGAGTTGCAGGGTTTTTCCTTACCCAAAATGAAAGTTCTGTTGGTTTTGGGTCATTGCCACAAACCAAAGGAGCAAGGAAGGGGATTTTTTTTTTTTTTAAAGACATATTTGAGACTTTGAGAAGGAAGCTTTTGATCATCTTCAGGGTCCTAAAAAAATGAATGGGAAAGGGGAGGCAAATGTAGCCCATGTAGCTTAAGGCAGAAATTGCTGCTAGCCCTGCTTCAAAAGAAGCATTTTGTGGAAAAATAACAATCCTGATAAAGGAAAGGGCATTGGAATAAATACCATAAATAATACCATATTTTGTTCTCAAGTTGGTAGCCCATGTTCTCAGAAGTGGGAGCCATGGTTTATGCCTGTAAGGATGGCAAAACATACTCTGTTCGCCGCCTCCTTTGTCTTTTGCTGCTGAAGGTATCTTCTTTCAGGTTGAAACATCCCATACTTAGCTGCTGCCAAAAAGTGAAATTTTAATTTTGATGAAAAGATTAAGGTGTTTTAAGCATGGGAAGAGTGAAAATAAACATTTCCTCTCTATTAAAGCTGATATAATAAAATGAGGTGTGTGTGATTTTGAGTGGCTGTACAGCTAAAACAACTAAATTACAAAAACTGAAGATTAGCTGTGATTGCAGACCGGTGCTTATCTTTATCCTTGATAGACTTGGTTTGGATTCCTCTACTTTTGTTCAGAGTTCAGGGTGAACTGGAGTAGCAATGTGTTGCATGTGGCACTTCACCTCAAACTAGTCAGCTGGCCAAGCTGGAACCTGAAATAACAAGAATCGCCTTTGCAGAAAGAGGCAAATAGGAAGGAAGAACCATCGTGGAAAAATGCGCATTTGTTACAATTCTGCTGATTAGGTTTTTGTCAGCTTTAACTAAATAATTACATGGAAAGTTTCTGTGGTTCAATGTGTCATTTTGAACAGGAAAGGAGAGAAGTAGGGTAGGATAAAACGCCAGACCCAGTAGGTCCATCAACACACTGGATGGCTGATACGCTTCAGGCTGTGGAGAAACGGTTTGCAGAAGAGTTACAACTTTCAGATCTTCTGATGGATTTTCTTGGTTTCATGAATAAACTTCCGTATACTTCTGGCTGTCACGGCTCCAAATTAGGTAGAGACATTTCACAGATGAGTGACTTCCAGCAGGAACATGTGGCATCCCTTTAAGCATCAGCCTTAGTTTTGAGCTCTGGTTCTGGGCTTGAGATGCTGCCAGCTGTGCTGATGCTTTCATTGGAAGAGAAGTAACATGATCTCCAAAAATACAGTAGATAGTGGAGATTATTTCTGTAAAATTGGATAGCCTGGTGTTGCCTGATGTCCGAGACTGTGAATAAACCGTCCAGCTTCCCATGCTATGCAGTAGAAGCAATGAGACATTGGGATGCTAGTGTACATATACAGTAAGGAAACTGTCTGTAAGTACTTTTCTGCCGACTGTCACTAGTGAAAACAGAGCCTGTAGCATTTGTGCTGCCCTGATTCTGTGCTGCTGCCTGGAAACCTGAAGGAGAGGAGGCAGTCCAAGCAACATCAGCTTGGATTTGGGATTGCCCTGGCTCCAGCGGTTCTGCAGAACGTGACACAGTTACTCACGGGGAGACCTGGGTTACGGCTAACAGGTGTGCAAATGTGTTGGCAAAAGAGAGAGGATTGCTAGGCAACTATGTCTGTGTGCCTCGTGCTAGTTGTGGAGTATTTAATCTGCCCTCCTTGCTAGTTCTTGCCTTTCTCTGTTATTACCATTTGTATTCGTTGCCTGTTGCAAAGTAATGCCATGTAAAAAATAGGAAAATGAGATCTTCCCCTGCAGAGTTTATGCTCTGCTACACAGGAGTGGTGGGGCACGTATTAAAATGTACTCTGTAGTCAGTGATCAACATGCTTGGTAAAGGTCTCATCGGCATGCTGGGGTCTTGTATTTTTGTGTTTTTGCTGTGTTGCTGCTGGTGATGCTCTGCTGTTGTCAGCTAAGAAGGTTAGGACTTGATTTTGTAAACATACATATTTCAGGAAGCAACCATGTTTACGAAAGAGTAAAGCTAGCCTCTGGAGAGGCTATCTTGAAGTATTGCTTTTGTGCTTTCAGGTTTTCTCACTTGTAAATCACCCTTCTGAAGTAGGATGCAGTCGATCTCGTATAGCAGTTGTCTGGTCATTTTTCCAGCTCACATGTGAAATGCTGCTACCTTGCTTTGCATGGAAAGCAGCACAGACATTCCTATGCTGCATGGCTGGCTGGCTGAGCAGCCCCCAGGGGAAGATCCTTCAATCAGTGCAAGCCCAGACCAGGATGACAGGGTATCTGGGACCATGGCCTGCTGCTCCTATGTAGATGGGGTTGTCAGCCCTGCCAATGTTTCTAAATCCAAGTAGAATTGAACACATATAAGTTTGTGTACAGTTTTGTTAGATGTCTGGCATAATATTCCAGGCTTGCAGCTGCACGGAATTTGGTAGCTATATTTTCCTTACATATTGTATTCATATAAACTATGTCAGTTGTGCTTTGAGTCTGGTGAAAGTTAAAGTTCAGGGGTACTTTGATTTGCATATAGGTAATTTTCTTATGCCTGCAGATCTGGGTTACAAACAGGTTGATCTCAGCTTCATCAGGTGAAGCTTATGGGGGAACATGAAAACCGGAGCATCAAAATCCTTCAAACAATTAAAACTGAAGAAGAGAACAGACTTGCTTTTCTGTCCACTAATGCTTTGAATGATAGTAATATAATGACACAAGAAATCATGTTTTTACGTTAGATATGACATGAACCTTATCCATGTAACATAGCAGCAGCCAGAAACTTACCCACCTGCGTATTTAACACCTTACAGTAAAGTGTCTTGCAGACCCTTTATATAGTGATATGTTTTGCTATGGTTATTATGTTTTCCAGTGTATTCGAAAAGGATCCCAATGGAGTTGATTCCACTGCGAGTTCCAGCCACCGGACCAGAAATCTTCTGGAGTTCTCAGCTAGCCAGGAGTCCAGCACAGCTCAGAAAATACCTGGGGACATCATTCCCGAGAAGAGTAATAGGTGAGATGAAAACCTTTAACATATTTTAAGTGGCAGAGGGCAATGGTGCTTTTAGACCTCACTGCCCTTCCATTTGCTGACCTCTTTGGCCAGTGTTATTGCTGCTCTTAGAGAACAACTGTGTTGACAAACAAAGTGTTTTGAAAGCTGATCTCTTATTTTTTTATTATTTAACAAAGTTTACCAGGTTGCTTTTCAAATTAATATGATGTTTTATCTCCAAGACTACCCAATACATAGAGCTTCAGAAGTGTACACGTGGCTATGCTGTATGGTGTGAGGGATAGTGTGGTGGAAGAGAGCGTGTAAACAAGTGTATGTCATGGAGATTTTCATGACCTTCTTCAGTTCTTCATCTGTCTGCTTTTTTCCCTGATCTTTAGTTTAGCTCGCATAGTTATGGTATTTGTCATATTATCTATCTCTTCTTACTTTTCAAGCTGGAGTATTTATTTAATAGTTGCTCAAGAGAAGACTGGGGAGGTTCACGAGTAAGAGCAGACTCTGAACTTAGCACTGTACTTTTTTAGAAATCTCTGAGTCCATCCTTATGCTTACCCATTATTTAATTGTATCAAGCTTCCTAGCTCTCTAGCATTCGGTGCATAAGTGAACATATAATTGTCTCCAGATTGAAGTCTGGCTAATCCAGCTCATGCTTTCCCCTTACAAGATTTATCCTATCAGATTGTCCCTTTCCAGTAGAGTGTTTTGGCTGGTTGAACAAAGCCAGGCACAGATGTGGAGAAAGCCCTAATGTATTTTGCCATGCAGAAAGAAAGCAATAAATCAAGAGCATTTTAAGGCTGTAGCCATGGTGAGGGCTTTGTGTCCGATGTTGCACGTTTCAGACCATGACTTACGCAACGTAGTAGCAGAGTGGTTCTCTTAGGAGGATATGCTCGTGCCTGTACCTCCTCCTGTTCTTTCATTCTTTCACCCTGTTTTTTGGCAAGCTGTGAGCTCTTTGCTGCATATTCTCCTTTATCTGTTCTAGATGTAGTAAACAAGAGAAGCAGACATGAAGATGGAGAGAAAGCTGGGAAAGGGAGGGGAATGTGAATAAGGCTTTCATAAGCTTTTATACCTGATTTTTCAGAAAAAAGTTGAGGTTTAGGAGTTACAAGTCTCTGTCAAAACCAAGAGGACTAAGGCTGTTATATTGATACCCTATCAAGAGAGGAACTTACAGTAGGTATTTGGTGATAAGTAGTTAATCCCGCAGGAGGTACAGATACCCAGGAGAAAAGAATATTAGTCTTTGCTTTGTCGCTGAGAGTGCTGTGGATTTTTGTATTGAAATACATGCTCTTTTTCACTTTTTATCAAAGCCAAGCTAGCTTCTGGAGACTGTTGGAGACGTAAATCCTCTCCACTCAGTTGTAATATAGTTTGTGGTTGCCGCATTGTCATATAGCTCATGGTCTTTACATCTGCATGGTTTTAGTGGCTAATAAATTTAGTATTTCTGTAGCAAATCTTGCACGGCTCTGGAATGAATGGGAAAGTTGCCTCTGCAGAGATCTCATAGTTTACATATTATGAGGAATATTTTACAGGCTTCATTTTCTTTCAATATTTGGCCTGTTTGGGAAGAGATCCAACATCTGCTAATGCTCATCTGTCTTCCCTGTGTTGAGTGCTATCAGACCCCTTTGGGGAATTGACTGAGACTATTGGATGTTTGATAGAAATTGTTACTCACCTGTTTCAAAAGTCCCATAGGAGCAGCTGTAACCTTTGTAGGTTTGCTGATGGTAGTGCTTTTCTCTGGATTTGGTCAAAGATTCATGAAAAACTATTTTAACAGATTTCTTGATGTCTTTTTCTTTTTTTTCCCAGGTATGACCATTCTGTATCTGATAACAAAGCACTGATGATAGTCTCGGAAGAACCACTGTTATATATTTCACCACCACCACCACCCTGTCAGCCCCTGATTAATCGGACAGAGTCACTGAGGTGAGCAAACAACCTTTTCTGAGCATTTAAACTTTTATTAAGACTTTAGATATAAATTGTATGTTGGGTAAGTGCTACTGGACAGATAGCTGTGAATGATGTTATTGTCCATTCATAGTGTTCATCCACTATGTGACCAGTGCCTCTGTAAGTGTCTGCACTGTCCAATGTCTACTACCATGGAGACAGGAGATCGACTTGGATCTTTGTCATCTTTTTATGCTTCTAGTAATGATTTTCACTCAGTTTTTTTTTATTGCTACACTGATCATGTAGCAGTGACCGAATAACGATTTTCTGATTGCCTGGAGGTTTTTCATGGCTTGAAAGAGAAATCACTTCATACGTAGAAATGCTCATAATATGGAAGTCAAGACCAGCTAAAAGCCTGTTCCATTTGAAATACATGAGAGATGGTCTCCTACTCTTCAGCTTCTGATACAAACAAACTTAACCTGACATTGCAGATGTGCTTTATTCACTGTTAGAAAACACCTAGGCCCACTTTTTCCAAAGATATGAGTGCGTCACTAACCTTATCTCCATTCTGCTTTGTCCATTCTTTCTCTCAAATTAATTTGATGTATTTTAGCCTTCTTAACCAATGTTTTGTCTTGAACTGATCAACTTTTGATTTTAAATTTCAGTAGTCCTTCCAGTAATTTCAGAATTACTGTTCACTGGGCAAAAGAAAGTACTGTATCTGATTTATGTTGAAACATCCATGATCCCAATACTTTATAGATATTTCCTTATGAATTCCCTTATAAATTTAATCTTGCTATTGTATTTTCTTACTCTGGTATTAAAAATACGTTTTCATGAGGTAAAAGAGTAGTAATCTGCAGTGTCTTTATAGTGGCTAGTTAAACCGTTTTCTAAAATTAAAAAATTCTGCCACTGTTCTTTGAAACATCTGTTAATGCTGTGGCTTTTTCTAGGCTGAATCATGAACTTCGAGGATGGGTTCATAGGCATGAAGTGGAACGAACAAGATCTAGAAGGCTGTCAAATAACCAACAGCAGAAAGCACGGGTTATGCAGGTAGGCAGGTTTATACCATAGCATGACAAGATAATTTCAGAGAACATAACAAAATATTCTCTCTTACTTGTCTACACTTGTCATTATAGACAAAAGTAGCAATGGTGCATGTAATTAGGGTACCCAACACTTCCCATTTTAAATTGCTGGGTTTGTTTGATTATTACGTTGTC